GCAGTGTTTTGTGCTGCACTTAAAACTCTTGCTTTCATATTCCATGCTGTACTGGACCTTCTGGGGAAGCAGACAGCATTTGGGCACTGTTGTGGGTGTGAGCTGTGCCCTTGACTTTCTGAACTGGAGATTCTTCAGTGCAAGCACTGACTCCTTAAGATCTTCCAAGTTTCGTAGGAAGATCCCTCCATGGCTGGAGCTTGTCTTCAGTATCATCTTCTTGAATAGAAGTGCCAGAATTTGGAATACATTTTATTTTAGATGTCAAAGCAAGCACTCTGAATTGCACTCCAAAGCCATGGCAATCTCCTTTGAAAATCCAAGCTGAAATTTATCTGAAAAGGAGAATGCCAGGTGTAGTGTTCCCCCTTCTCTCTCCTACTTGGGTATATTAGAGGCATCAGAGACAGAAAATTAGAAGATGCGTCAGTCAAGAGTTTATAGTTGCATTGCACATAATTTTCCCATGTAACTTCACATGTCTGTGAGAATGAGTGCAATAATAACTCCAAACACACTTGGACAGCAAATTGCAAGTCAGATCCTGATTGCTTAGTTGGGGGCATGCAGATGGCTTCCAGAATCACAAGCCACATGTTTTTAGACTCTGCCTTCCAGCGAGGAAGCGTTAATCACAGCCTGTGCTAAGGAAGGTGAGGTGAGCTTCAAACTGTACCTGGAAGCAGTTACTTGGGCACTTACTTTGGACCAATACCCCTTAACTTCTGACGCCAGCCACTTAATTAAGGTATATTTTTGGTCCCTTTCTTATTCCAGGGTGCTTATAATTAAGACTCTGACCCTTCAGATTGCTTTATAAGACTCTGAAAGTGTATATTGATTAGTTGCTATAACTTTTTAAAATAACATTATGGAACCAGTTATTTGTTCTTTCAGCACACTTTGTTTTGCATGGAAGATGAAAACAAAAATAACATTATGGATGTCAGAACCAGTTATCTGTTCTGTCAGCACACTTTGTTTTGCATGGAAGATGAAAACACCTTTGAATACATTCAGGAAGTATTTGTAAACATTTCAAGTGGATTTGGCTGGTTCCATACATCCAGGAAGTATTTGTAAACATTTGTAAACATTTCAAGTGGATTTGGCTGGTTCTGATTTTGGAACAGAAATTTCCTGACATCTGAACAAGTCATTTTCCTTAACTTCCTACCCAAAAGAATGAAGCCCTCGGCTCTTCAAGACATCAGAGAATTACTAGATATTGGTACTGCCTGGTTACAGTGTGCAGTGTTAATCTACAGTAGCTCTGAATTGGCATTATACCTCTCTCTTTATGCCTAATAGCTCCAGCGTCTAAGTCACTCCTCTGGTTGGAGAGACAAGTGACTGGTATGTACTCCAATATGTTTTGTAGCATCTGCGCCCTTCTCCCTCCCCAAAGCTAACCGCAATGAAGAGACCGTATCATCAGCAACACTTGCCCTTCCTCCCCATATGATTTCTCTAATATTTTGTCAACATTGTACCCAGTACATTGACCCAATAGGGCACTGGGGAATTGTCCATACCAGAGGCTTCAGATTGCAGCCTGTCTTGATATCATCTTTCTTTAAAGCCTGCTCTGCAAAGGGGAAGCATAAGCCTTAGGAATGATGGCTTGTTACTAGCAGACTCAAGTTACCGCTCTGCAAAGTGAAGTGCTAAGTGCACCAAAGAGAAATCAGTGATGCAATAAAGCCATCAAACTGTCTGAAAAAAGATCAGTTTATGAGAACTGAAAGTGTCTCTTCCAATAAATGCCGTGAAATTCCAGAAAACCAGGCAAGAATCAGTAAGTTTTCTTAGCTTTCTGAAGGTTTGATACCAAAGCTTTAAAAAGGGATTACTGATCTTAAATCGTGTCTCTCAAAACCAGTGTAGGAATCTTTTTTTCAGGGAGCAGAGAAAGAAAGAAAACAATTGCAGAGTTATTACTGTCAAAGAGATGACGTCTGCATGGCAGAGGTTGCTTTCCGAGCCTGTAAGACTGTACTTGCTTTGAGACTGAAACCCAGACACTCAGGCTGAAAAGAAAAACTCCATCAGAAATCAATTAAATCCAGTTAAACTCGAGTATTACTTCAGGACAAAAAGACTGTTTCTGTTCTTTGAACTGCTAAAAATGTTATGAAAACAGTATTTTAACAAGGAGCCTACTGGCCAAGCCAAAATGTCACTGTTGCTGTATCCAGTTACCCATACTTCTTACTACTTAAGGTCTAGCTATCACACACATGTAACCTCAATTACAGTAACATCTGGGGTTTAACAGGTTTTAGTGTGTTTGACTTCGTGGCACCCATGGTAGGTAAGGGGATTATTGTCTTCAAGTTATGGTACAGAAATCTGGTTTAGTATGAGATTATGAGAGTATGAGTTAGATGACATCTCATCTAACTTCAGCGCTTTAGAAGTTAGTTATCTAAGTTAGTTGTCTGGGCTCTGTCCCCCACTGAGGGAGAAGAAACCCCTGGGAGATGATCCATCCCCACTCTAGAATAGATGGGATAAACCAACCACAGAGATGCCTCTCTTCTTTTGCCAAGAGTTGGAGCCCCAAATGAGACAACTCATGCACCAGGCAAGATGAAATGTCCCCTCAGGGACATGAGTGGCTTCCTGTAGGATGGGGGAAGCAGAGCATGCTCTCCCACCTCCCAGAACAGACCCGTAACCATAAGCCATTCTTCCTCTCTGCTAATTAGTCAGTAATTGACGGCATTTGCCTATTCCACTGCAGGCTGGGCTTTTCCTTAATTTTTACAAACTAGGTGGGGAGAGGCGTGCTTGGTAGTACTGGTGTGTTTAGATGGGAGGCCACAAGGAAAATCCAGTTGTACCAGGAAGCAGTGGTGGTGACTCAATACCCGGTTGTGCTGTAGGTTAAATCTCAGAGCTGCTCGTCATTACAGGATCATACGTCACAAGAGTAAGGTATTAAACCCCAGACAAATTACATGATAGGTAACTCTGTCCTCCTTGCCCTTACCTGCAGCTTCACCTAAATTACACAGTCTTATGCACAACCTGATCTCAACTTTTCTGAGCCCAGGTGGAGTTGCTGTCCTCTGTCCCAGGGATGGGCAGAAGTCTGGAGCAAGTGAAGTGATTTCTACATATGCAAGCAGTAAAGCCCTTTGGGATTTTAGATGGAGAGCGCTATGGAAATGTAATATGTCATTACTTCATGAAGTTATATAATTTTTAGAGTCGAGATTTTACAATATCCCCATTAATGTAAATGGTTCACTGCACTTGATGCTAGAGTTCATGCAGCAGCCCAGAGCAGCATTCCTCCCACAATAAGTACAAAGCAGAACAGTAAGCAAAGAGGAGCAGCAATGCTTGTATTTGACTTGCGGTTCTGGTTTTGCTTCATCTGGGTGCCTGCCCACAACAGGGACATGACCAAATATTTGTGAGCAGTTCAGGTCCCCTGCCCTTCCCACCCTCACCCAGCTGGTGGTGGAAGTAATTGAACTACGGCCAGGTACAGACAGTTCACCGTGGATGTCTGCGGCACTAAAACCAATGCAGCTGATGCCAGCTTGAATGTGGCTTTCAGTTCACTTTGCAGCTTTAATTCTGTAGTTCTACATCTGTTGCATTATGAATGTCTTCAAATTAACTGTGGTGTATTTTAGGGACTCAGAATAACAATGGGTAGATCCACCCCTTCGGCAGAGTCACCTCCGAGGGAAGGGAAGGAATCTGCTACGGTATTACGCATCTCTGCCAGGGAAAGCCTCTGCGGGGCTCCTCCCCAGAGTCTGGAGCCTGACCGTTCTTCAGCTCTGGCCTTCCCTTCCAAGCTCAGAACCTCACAGATCATTCCTGGGGTGTTTCCAGCTTCCAAGAGCTATCAGCAGTGTCTGTGGGACAGGATGGATGTTTCTCCTTCACAAGAAATCCTGATAACAAGAGCAGCAAAAGAAATGGTCAGATAGATTTGTCTTAGATTGCCTTTGCTATCCTAGCCTGTATGACCTGGTATCTTTTAGAGAGCTGTAAAACTGTTCTTTGAGCTGACTTTGTTTAAAGACTAGGAGGATTTTGGGGGCCTGAGCTGTACCAGAGGCTGGGCACAGCTCATGACATTTTGGAGACTGTCCATAGCCGTTCCAGGGACACGGCCATGATTGAAGGACTCTGGCTCCAAAGTGGAGACAGCTTGTTTTAGTAAGACAGATGATATTGCCTGGTCTGGGAACGTAGTGATTCAGAGGCTGCTTCACATACAGCTCAGCTTTGTGTTTGGCAAAGGGAGGCTGATGCTGGGATGTTTAAGCTGTTCAGCTTCTCTAATGAATGCCTTTTTGCAATTCAGAAGTGTTACGCTGGCTCCTAGAGCCATCTAAGTTATGCCCGGGCCCAGTTCTGCAGTCATAGAATCATAGAATTGTTCAGGTTGGAAAAGACCTTTAAGGTCAGCCAGTCCAACCGTTAACCTAACCCTGCCATCCCACCACTAAACCATGTCCCTCAGCACCTCATCTATCCATCTTTTAAATACATCCAGCATAGCAGTGTGCAAAAGAGGCTTTCAGTGCCTGACGTGGGTGTCTCCTACTGCACCATGGAGGTCTTTTGCAGTGTGAGCTGCAACGTTTTTGTTACAATTTGCTTTTAACATGTGAGTGTTTAATTCAGTTTCTAAATCTCTAAGTGTATCAAACCTCAAATACGGCATTGAGTTTCCCTGATTCCAAGTGAAAGCATTCAGAATGGGCTATGAAGTGGATGTTTATTCTGCCTGATCTGTCATTTTGTTTTCAAGCTAATACTAACCCTGCTGCTACCCTGTAATCAGCTCTTATGGAAACAATACATTGTCCCTAGGGTAAGTTTAGAAAAACATTCACAATACACCCACAGATAAATCCAGTTTTAGCAACGTGGTGTTTAAAGCACTATACTCTGCTCATAGAGCATCAGGAAGATGTGCTGGCTTGGAGCCACCTCCAGATAACCGGTTTCTCTGTATTGTTTCTCAGGCCCTACATGTCCATTGGAACGCTACGTGATCAAGTCATCTATCCAGACTCAGTGGATGACATGCATGAGAAAGGCTACCAAGATCAAGATCTGGAGAGTATCCTGCATATGGTTCATCTGTACCACATAGTTCAAAGAGAAGGAGGTAGATTGCATATTTTTGTGAAAAGCTTTACAAAATCTTTTCCTCATGTGTGTGTCTTAGTGTCACTGACCTTTACTTCTGAACTGGCAAGACTGGATCCAGACCTTTTGTGGCTGTGGGAGCTGCAGAACCACATGGTTGTTGCTCCTGATGCTAACAGAGGGAGAAGAACTAAGTGCTCCTCTCCTCCCCAGTACATCCATGCCCTAGTTGAACATCACTGTTCTCTCTAATGGCCAGTCATTTCATGGTATTGTGAGATCACTGACCTTCCTTCAGTTTCTTAGAAAATGTAACCTGTCTTAAAACCTTGAAACATCACTGACTATATCAACTCGAAAGCATGCGAATGAAAAGAGAGTCAGGTCTGCTTTCACCTCCCTGGTTTGTGGGATTGGCAGGACTATGTGCCATGAGAAGAAGTGTCTGATACCACACCACCAGGGTGGACAAGTTAAAAATAACCAAACAACGCTGTCTGGCAGTAGAGTGTTGCTACCTACCACTTGCTGTTGAAGTTGCTATGTGTTCTCAGCGTTGTTTGTCCTAAGAGTAGTGGACAGTGTAAATACACTGGCACAGTAAATGCCAAGATGCTGAAGACTTCTCTTGTGTCTAAGGAACTGGAGCATTTCATGACTTTTTTTTCCCAAGCTTAGCAATAGTTTTCATCCTTTTGTTCCCACCAGCCACTAATCTCTAGTTTGAATTTCCTCCCTGTCATTATGCTTTTAAAACAGACAGGACAAAGTTGGTAACATTTAGAGAGAAAAAGGAGGATCTTCAAACCTCTCTAAGCAGCCGATGTTGGGAGTGCTGGATGTACCCTGCTTCTCTCTGCCAGCTGTCAGTGCTCCTTTTTGAGAGGGTGCTTTGGGTGCATTGCCTTTTAATGTGTGTCCTGGTGTCTCTCAGGATCATTCTGTCAATAGAGTAGCACTTCAGCCAAGGCAATATCTAAATTCCCATTCCTGGATGGCAGCCTGTTGCTCTGTTCAAAAGCAGAAGGTGTATTTAAGTATGCATGGACACTCATCTGGTGTTTTTTCTGCACGTTTTAGAGTGGGGAGTAGTAATTTTTTACAGCAGTGATTGTATACCTACAGATACTTCTCCACCTCACAAACCTGTTGATAGACTCTTATCTTTCCATAGGTTAATGCTTCTTTGTTAAGAATGTAATAATGACTCTTGGCCCTCAAGTTGCAACAGAAAATAAGAATCTGCCATAGTTCTGATTCATATTGTTATTCAGATCTGATACTATGACACAAGGATTGAAAAAGTGGGCAGAGAGCTAAACTCAGTGACCAGAATAATTGCAGAGAAGGCCTCTACTCCCTACACTGACATTATAACTATCCCTGTTAGTATTCCTGGATCACTTACTTCACTAAGTGAAGTGCCCAGATTGCAGAAGAGCAAGCAGATGTGTTGGAACGGGGAGCTGGAAGAGGAGGAGCGGTTAAATTGTCAGTGGCAAGAAGCCACTGTGGAGTGTGCACTCATAGCCTGCTGGTACTTGTAGATGGACTGAACAGCACATGACCCTCAGCGGCCAAAACCATATCCCCAGCGGTCTCTGAATGCGCATCGTTGTGGTTTATAACCCTGCAGCTGGAGCATGTAACGGATGATGGGGCAGTTACTGTGCTCCACGTACGCGATGCTGTTGGCGAGGGTCAGTGTTCTGTATTGCCAAACCAAACCCCTAGGTTTGGATCAGGTTCGCTCTGCTTTCTGTGCCAAAGAAAGTATTTATTGCTGACCCCGTTCTTGCTCTTCTGCCTGTCTGATTGCTCATGCGAGACACACACAATCTATAAAAAAGTCTCGAGGACATTGTTAATGTTCAGTGGTGCTCTGCTGAAACTCCACTCAGGGTAACGGAATACTGTGAAAAAGTCTGCACAAATGTTAAAAAAAAAGGGTTTCTTAGGTACTTTGCGATCTAAAATGACAGGAGTGGGCAAGCCGGAAAGCAGGGGAGATTACCACATACCAGGAAGTTTTGAGGAGCATAATACACTTACTTGTTCCCTTTTCTCCTTGGGCATTTGCAGGAGACAAGTGCCAAGGTAGGAGCTGAGAGGAAATCCGTGACATATGATTTGACGCATTACATGGATTTCATATGCTTACATTTTCTTTAGAGCTCCCCCAGCCTGGGACAAAGACTCATATTCTGGGTTTTTGAACCAGCAAGCCAGAGAAATACTTGCTGAAAGTGAACAATTGAAATTCTTCTTTATACATAGCTGAATTATTTTTTTAATTCCAATTTTTTTTTTATCCTTTTACTTAAAATCAGATTTTTAAACTAAAATGATTTCTATTAAAAATGGAACTTTTTCCTTTGCAAAACAATGAAAAATCCCATATAAAGCTTGTAGAACAAGGCATTTGTCCCAGTTTTTTTCCTCTTTGCAGACTGCTTTGATGGTTGACAAGGACTGGCATTTTCAACAGAAAAAAGTTGTGCCGAAAAATTCCCAGCAAGTTTCTATTTATAGATTATATACACTTTTTGAAAATGTACTACATCTGAAAAAAAAAAATCAATGCAACCATTTTTAGTTATTCAGATTCTTGTGGATATCTGGGATATGTCTGTGCTCTTTTGAACTGTTTCCATAAACTTCTAAGAACAGAGCTAACTGTCTGTCAATCATTAAGTTATAGAAACCTAATATTTCAATATTTTTTTCTGTAGATCCTCTTCTCCTTCAGAGCCTTACCTCTGTCTCTTCCCCTTTCACCTCTCCCCTGCAGTATTAAGCCTCTGCCAGACAGCAGGCTCCTTAGGGCATGACCCTGTTGTGCTTTAATTGACTGACGAATATTGTGCGTGTATAATACAATGCTTTGCAGTTCTGTGTTCTGCTCCGTGTGGGCAGTTACGAAAAAGCCAGATGGAGCCAGAAGTGAGCAACTCTGACTCAGTTTATTTGTCCTGGTGTAACTTTATTGTCTTTAGCTGAATTACTTCCACATTGTGTCAGTACAAGGGTCACCAGATTCCAAGCGTAAAGTAGCCAACAAGAGCCTGACATTGTTCTTGTTGCTGCCAATGGCAGAAATTCCTCTCTTTTTCTAGCAGTGAGGTTTGACCCAGTTAGAAGTAAATAGAACAGTTACAAGAATAAGTAGCCCAGTTTGGCATTTAGCTTCTGCGTTACCCTCATGAAAATTTTTTCAGTTGGTAGCAACAGAATACATCAAACCCACCAAACACACCAAAATAACAACCTTCCTCCCCACCACCACCATTCCGGATGTCCCTGAGCCCAAGCCCTAGAAGAACCCAGTGCAATAGCTGTTGACAGTAGACCCCCTTGCTGCTAGGGGCAGAATTTCCTTCCCACTGAGGCCCCCCCCCCCCCCCCCATGTTTTCCTCACCTGCTGGATATTCAAGGAATGCTATTTTGTGATTTACCTTTATATTATCTTATACTTACCTTTATATTAATAAGGTGACCCCATCAACACCTGCAAAGTTCCTAGCTCTACCAGAATAATCATTTCATACAAAATGAGAGTAGCAAGGAAAGTTATAGTCAGTCAGCACAGGTGGTGAAAAGGCATGTCCAGAAATCCTGGGTAATAGCATGGAGACGTGCAGTAGATGTATGTGAAGAGGTTCCTTTTTGACCTGCTTTGAAAATCTGTGTATATTTAGCAAGTGTCAATCGTGATGCAGCCTTAGGCAGCCGATAGCCTGTCGCACGAGAGGAGCCATGAGCCTGTGTAGCAGCATGCTGAATGCATGACGGGGCCCGTCAGGTTGGGGCTGATGACATTACTGAACAAGTTCAACCTGTTCATGGTTTCTCAGCACCCCAGATTATAATTATTCCTCATTAATTTGCACATTTGTCATATCTTTGGGTCTTGTCCAGGGAACCTTTGTGCTAGGCCACGTACAAACACACAGACAAGCACATTTCCTCTCTCCGAGATTTTTTCGTCTGATCATTTTAGCCCTGGATTTGCTTTGTTACTGGTACCAGCAGGAACTCTGGAGTGCTCATCTGGCTTTTCCAGTGGCTCTGCAATCCAGAGATGCAAATCCCTGCAGTGTTGTGCTGAGCTGGGGCTCACACAATTGATGGCCTCTTTGTTCCTTCCTCAGCTAAGGGTTGCCCTTGCATATTCATCCTGCACAGCACCCGGCCTCCCTTCCGTTTTGACAGCTGCCTGGGGGCGTACGCTGTGCAAGAGGCCTCTGTGTTCAAACGCTTGCCAGGGGTGGACTCTCTGACTGTTTGCTGCAGTAGCCTTTCTTCTGGCATGAGGCTTTTACGCTCCAGTCCATGTCTGATGAGGTGCATTGGAATGTAGATCTGGTAAAGGAACTTTTAAGCGTATATTCTTATGGCAGCTGAATGCCCTGTCTTGCATGCAAGTGTGAGGATTCACAAGGATGAAGGATACTCAGCACTACAGACCCCAGATGTAACCCTTTTTTGGTTGTCGAATTTAGCTTGCTTTTTCCTTCAGAAAATGGAGGTTAAAGGAATTATAAAAGAAGTCATGCAAGAAAAAGAAACGCTGCGATCATGCGGCTATCACTAGCTTCTGCTAACAGCTGTATGTATTTCTACTGCTGTTACTCTGCCCCAGCACATTGCACATGCTCTTTGTCTTACTGGTTGCAGAAGGCATTTCTGTGACATCCAGTGTTCATCGCATCTACATCATACCATGTGCAATCAAAGGCTACGTGTAACAAGAAGCTGGGCAAGGAATTTGGACTCTGAAAGCCCGGATTATATTTGTACCTATTGAGAGATTTGTGCTGCATTCATGGACAAGCCATTTCATTTCTTCTGCGTTCATGGACAGGCCATTTCATTTCTTCATTTGTAAAGCAGATGTCGCTATGGGTGACATAAACCACTGACTTGGCTTGATATTTTCAGAACACTGAAGACC